TGGTTTGGAGTAATCCGAGTCGAACTGGCTCGAAGGTCCGATCGGAAATCGTGGGTTTGTTCGATGGAAGTGTCCAGTCGACTTCCATCCGGTATATCCCGTCGTTATCCGACCTTCTGTTGAGGTCGGTCATCCTATCCGTCGGTGGTCGACTAGGGTTAACCTGCAATAACATGCCCATGTGGGGCTAAACAAGTGCCTTCAGGTCGAATTCATCCACCGCAAACTGTGATCAATCGTCTTCGGTCATGCTGACTGGGTTTCCGACCTCCGACTTGTGGTCGGTTATGGTCGGCTTCAGAAAGTCGGATGAACTGTGTGCTCATCCGTCCGAAGGCTAGGTTTTTCCGCCAGGAGGTCGGTTCTCGACTTCCAAATGACGTTACCGACTTGTTGTCGTATCCTTCCGACTTCTGTTTGGTCACTTCCGACCTGCATTTGAGGTTGGCTAATTTCCGACTTCTTCGAGTCGGATGAACTGTGTGTTCATCCGTCGAAAAAGCAAAATTCTTCGGCTAAGAGGTCGATTTTCTACTTCCGATGGATTTTCCGACCTGTTGTCGTATACTTCCGACCTCCATCTGATGACTTCCGACTTCCGTTCGAGATCGGTTATCCATGTCGGAATCCCAAGGTCGGCTGATTTCCGACTTCTTCGAAACGGATGGACTGTGTGTTCGTCCGTCGAAGAGATAAAGTTCTTCGGCTGGGAGGTCGATTTCCGACTTACAAGTTCTGTGCCTACGGCTACAGTTGACCGGGTCTCCGTTGTTCGGACATCCTTCGGTCGGTTTTGACTGGCAGAAGGATGTTCGGCAGCCCAACTCCGTTCCTTCTGTGATTGCTGACATGAACTCTGGGTCGGATCCAAGCTACTGTTGGCTGGTTTATCCGAGTGACTTGCCTCTGGGTCGCCGAGTCCTGCGAGGTAAAGTTTCCTTGGCGTCTGTTGGCCGAGTGACTGGCGCTTCATCATGCAAATGTGCTCGCCTACAACACGAAGGGTCTTTGTGGCCCCGGTTGTCGAGCTCTTTGGTTTGAAACTTCATGCACATGCAAGTCCCTGAGGTCATCAGATCCGGTTCTTCCGTTTTGTTTTGTCGCGAACCTGAGACGCCTAACCGCTTCTGTTGGGGGTAGACAACTCACGTCCACGGGAGATTTTCTTTGCCGCTGACGAAGGCCGACTGGCCAGTACTGTTGCGGGCAGGTGGTCATCGTCATCGGGGGTTCGTTAAAGGGGTGCCGGCCGAGTGTTCTAACTCGGTCTGCCTAAGGTGTTCCATTGAAGACATGGGGAAGCAGGTCGCGGCGGAGTCGTTGGAGTGGCGGCCAAATCACCGTCGCTGTTCCTCTTCAGGTAATGGCAGCACGTTCGAGACGCGCGTAGTCGTGGTCACCGGTGAATCGGCTGGTTTACCCGATATCGTCCGGGGGAGACTGCGGTTGGACTCCGGGTACAGGTTCCTAGTTGAGTTCCTGTAGATCTGGGTTCAAACGGAGAATCCGGTTAAGTTACCACGTGGCTACTGCTAGCTTCCGTCCATTCTTCCTGGGCAATTTCTGTTGGCCGTTATGGTCGACCTGTGTGGTCGGCCATAATGTCGATTTCTCGTTAGTCGGCTACCATATACTTAGTCGATCTGTGTGATCGGCTGAGGTAGCGAGTCGTGGTTCGGCGATCTGCATCGTTGCGATTCCGACTTCAACTCTCTGAACAATTCGTTCCGAGTTTCCCAAAACCGATCTCTGTGATCGGCTTACACAACCGACCTTTGTGGTCGGTTAGTGCCACGATATCCGTTATGTCTCCAAGTTATGGATGAAGTACAAAGTTGACCTTTGTGGTTAACTCAAGTACATACAGTCAAATCCGAGTTTTCTTGCGCTGTTGGCGACTCGGCCGAGGGATGTCCGCTTTTACACTGGTGAAGGCTGCTCGGCTACCCGGTTCCAAAGTTGGCCACGGGTGCTCGGCAAACGTGGCGGTGAACACGCAGAGACGTATTCAGCGCCACGTTAGCGTAATCCTCTCGGTCTATGCTCCGGAGTCGGTTGGCCGGAGTAATCTTCATAGCCGGTCGTAGTTAATGGCACGATCAGTACCATGTAACTATCGTCGGCTCCATGTAACGCGGATTGGGGCTTCTGTTGGCTCCGATGGTCGCAGAACGTGGTTATCGATCCGCTATGTTAGCAGATGTGGTTCACGATCTGTTCATGCCATACTGGGGAACTGAGGTCGGTTTGCTCAGTTCTGTCCAGGGGATTCCTCGGAAGACGTACCGGAACGGTGGAAAAAGCCGGCTTGTCAGGTCTAACCACTCATGTCCGGGTCGAACCGAAGAATCCGGCTGACTTGTGTAGTCAGCATTCTGGCAAGGTCATCGTTGACTTCCGCTGTATACATGGTTTGGTCGGTTTATGGGGAGAAACTAAAGAAAAATGTCCATTCCGGGGTCGTTTCTCAACGATACAGTTTATCCGCTAGGCTGGTTCCCGTCGGGTCGGTTCTCGACCGTGCCGTTTCTCGGCGTTAAGTCCCCTCGGTTTGTTCCGAGTGGGGGATCGAGTTCCAATGTGGGAACTCGATCTTAACTGAGTGGGACTTCGACGGGTTTGTCGCCGCCGAAGTAATCATCTTCATCTTCATCATCCGGGCCAGGTCGATTATGTGGCCGGATGGTCGGATCATTGGGTTTACAAGTCGCCGGGCCACTCCGTTGAGACATCTCGTCAGTCTCATCCGTTTCTTGGCCGAGGCGATCCGCTCTGCCTTTCCTCGATTCCCTGGCCGCCTGTTTGCGGAGCCGCAGCGCATACGGTCGTGCGCCGGGTGCTATGTCATCTGACATCCAAGGTTCGTAGGGCGATGAATTGAATCCGCTGGGCAAAGTCTTCTTCTGTCGGTACCAGCTAATGAATCTGGTCGCGTCGTCGCTGGGATCTACGTGATCCTCACGAAAGGCATACTTTGTCGCATACCGTTCGTGGGTGTACAGCAAGTCGCGCATCCAGATGGCGAGGATAACACTTCTCATTGGTGTGCCAAGTTGGGCTACGAGGGTCTCCAAAGCCGCTGGTATCATTTCGTTCTGGTACAGGCCGTACAGGGTGTAATGGCAAAAGTAATTGCCGAGCCGAGCTGCGAAGATGAATCGCAGGAATGCTGTGACTCCGTCCTGGGCCATATCGACTTCCCCTTCTGGAAGGTACTGGGTTAAGTCCAGTGCTGCCCGAGCCGCGGTTATTACAAAGGCTGGGTGGGCGTCCGTGATGACAAATTGGGCAATACTCTCCATCTCGTCGTGGGGGTATTCCCGAGCTCCTAGTTGGCTCGCACGCGTTCCGTCCGGACTGTAAAGTGGTACATTCAGCAAGACCGGGTCGGTCATCGACGGTAACGCATTCGATCTGGTGTACGGATGTTCAACATTCTGTGCTGTGTGCGCATTCATGTTGAAGTCCGGTTGCCACTGATGTTGTTCCAGTAACGTCTGGTATCCAGATCGGACGAGGAATTGGCGTAAATTTTCTACCATCCGCCAGATTTGTGGGCGATTCCGTTCCTCGTAATTCATGACATTCATAATGTGGTTTGTCCGTTCGGTGGGATGTAGCATGACGACCTCGATTCCTTGTTGTCGGGCGCGGTCGTAACGAGGATCTTCTCGGATCGGCACTTCTACTTGTGGTAGTTGCGCCATCTGGTCGGCTACTTCGACGTCCATTTGTTCCGGTTGAGCTGCCAGTTCAGCTGGGACTTCGGCCGCCGGTTCCGCCTGATGGGCTTCCGGCTGCTGTTCGGGTGGGACAAAGTTACGTTTCGACTTATTTGTTAAGTCGACCGTGAGTCCGATTCCCGTTTCTCCAGATCCAGTCCGTTTTCCTGGTGGAGGTCTGGTCGGCTCTTTTCCGACTTGGCGGATAACTGCTCGTTGCTCTTCGATTCTGTCTCGAAGGTCAACTGGGCCAATCCTATGTCGGAGGTCGTGTCCCGCTAAGTTTTTGCTGGGTCGGCGTTGCTGCTGTTGAGCCGCCGGTTGAGTCCGATTTCCGTGGGTTCCGTGTTGGGGAATCTGCTGGAAAACAGTTGGACGAGCCTGTGTGACTACTGGCGTTGCCCTATGTGGGATTGCCATCAACTGTTCCTGAGTCGCCGGAGTAAAGGTAACCGGCTGTTGGGTTCCGTCCGGCATATTCATTATCATTGTCACCGATGCGCTAGTCATTGGTCGGTGTGGGTCTCCGACGAAGACGTCTCGTACATCGTGGATGAGCTGTTCGCTATCCGAGCGACCCTGTGTGGGTGCCGGTAACCGAATTTTTATTTCTGGTTCATAGTCGGTCGGTGGTGGATGGACCTTCATCGAGGCAATTCGTTTGTCGACCTCTCTGATCTTCCTTTGATCCTCCAATTGACGGTTAGCGTCTTGCAGCTGGCGATACTCCCACAGTCTGTCCGTTAAGACTGGTGGTCGGGTTCCTTCCCATCTCGGGTCGCGGGTTCGTTGCCGCTGGAGTGTAGCCAGGTTATCCTGTTCATGCGACTCTAGTTGGTCGACAAGGTATTCTCTGCCGGCCAGGTACCGATATGCGCTCAAGTTACCAGCGACAACATTAATGTAAAGTGCCGCCGCCTGAGCTCGGTGTTGTGGTCCCGTGCCGGTAACTCGTTCGTTCGTGAAGGATACGATGCATTGCGCGCAGGGCAATCTGTTGTTGTCCCTCGTCGCGTTATCCCTGCACTGTTGGCAGTCCACCGTGTAAGCTTCCGTTCGGTTCTGTCAAAACAAAAGTAAGCCAACCGTTTCTCGGTTGCGTCCTATGATTTACACCCTATATTTACTACGGTCGGGCCAGGTCGGTTCTCGAGCTGGTCCAAGACGCCTTTGTGGTCGTCTAATGAGGTAAGTCGACTTCTGTTGGTCGGTGACGCCTATGTGGTGTCACTGGAGGAAGGTCGGTTATGCCTCTCCTCCGACGCGTTCTGCGTTCCCTCACTCCCGTGTCGGTGCTTCTGTCGACTCCGGCCGACTTGCTTGGTGCGAGTCGGTCAGCTCGGTTGATTGTGCCGAGGTGGATCGTTCTTTCGGTAAGTGTCCGTGTCGGTGAGTTGATGGATTTAATGCGATGAACCGTTGGCCGCCCTGGACTTTATCGGTGTTCGTGGCAAATCTTTGTTGATAGAGTGCCTTCGATAAGACGAATTCCAATTCGTCTTCCAGGGAATACTTCTTGCGTCCGGCGACTACGTCCGGTTTAGGCTTGTATTTGAGGTCGACCAACTGCGGTTCTGCTGCTGTCCATTCGAACTCGAACCGTGTTGTAAGTTGGTGGAGTATTTCTCCACGGGTAAGTCCGTCGGGATGCCAGGACATTTCCATGCACGCTTCGATGGCGTGTGTCCATCCTTCATATGTTGAAGGGGCCGGATCCTTTTTAGCCGGTGGGAACTCGTAGTACATCCGCTTTGTGCTGGTGTACGTACGTATTATCTTCCCGGCATGGTATCCCAGGTCGCAGTAATGTCGCACATTATTCTGGCTCAGTTGTCGCCAGTCGCCCGTCTCGTCTACCCTCCAATGTTGGAGGAGTTTGAAGGCGATTCTTGGTGTGGCGAATTTCGGTCCACGTGTGGCCAAGGCCTTCAGGGCGGCGAATGTGTACATCCATCCCGCATCGTATTCCGATACACTCGGCTTCGGTTTTGAAGCCGATTTAATTCCCGTATACTTGACCCTAACGTTGGTCAACGGAGGGATGTCGTCCGGCAACACTTCCATGGTGTCTTCGTTCCATTCGGAGAGAAGTGGCCGCTCGTCAGTATCAGGGGTTATCGGTATCCGTTTACCGTACTGACGAGGGATATACACTCCACCATCGTCTTCATTTCTTTTGGATTCTTCAGCTTTGTCGCTGCCGTCCTTCTCCTCCGGTTGTCTATCCGGTATCTCCGGTTCGCCCTGCTGTTGGGGTGCCGGGTTCGACGGTGGTGGTGGTTTACCATTTTCGTCGTCGTCATCGTCATCGTCTTTCGGCGATCCGTTCCCAGGTGTTTGGAAATCGTCGTCGTCGTCATCATCCTCGGTTTCTTCCTCGGATGACGAGGTCGGTTCCGATGACTTCGGCTCCTTTTTCTTGGCCGGCTTAGTCGACTTCGTCTTGGTCGACTTTGACTTTCCTTTCTGTTGGGTCAAGTCTTCCGGTTCCGGGGAAATTTCCATGGGCGAGGACGGCGGGAGTGATTGTACGTCCCTCGGAATAAACCGTCCTTTCGCGCTCCGAGTCGGTTTTGCCGTACTTGCTCGTCCCCCTGGAGCTGCTGCCGTGCCGACATATGTTGTCGGTTCGTGGGGTGCTCGAGGTCGGGGTAGGACTTGGACTCGTCTTTGTGACGACTGTCCAGCCGTACGAGCTATATGCAGCAAAGCGGCTGCATCCTCCGACGGTTGTTCGTTGGAGTCGCTGTATTCTTCGATGGGTTCCGTGCCAGCCGGAGGCTTGTCCGTGTTGACGTAAGACATCCGGAGGTTGAATTCACGCCGATGTTGTTCCGGTATGAAGTTAGGCACGGTATACCGTACTGGTACGTCTCGTTCCGCGTTGGTCGTCTGAAGGGTATGTTCCGCGACCAAGGATTCGATTCGACCTGCTATATGGTCGATAATCTCGTCAATGTTGCCCTTCTTATCCATGTACATTACGTTATATACACGGGCAATCTGGACCAAAGTCGATCCGCGGGGATTCCGGATATATCCAATACACCGTGCGATTCTAGTCGGTGTATCATCCGCGTTCCTGGCGGCTGCACTTTTAAGTGCTTTGATGAGGTCCGGTGGGAGCAGTTCGGCCATCCGTCCCCATTGTCGGTGAACGGCTACTGCTAATCCGAAATCCAAAGTCCAGGCGACGATCTGCATCATAAGTTGATGCGTCAACCATTTTCCGGTTTCGCCTCCGACTTGGATGTTGTTGGACAGTTCTCGGACCAAGGACTGGTAAATGTCCACGCCGTTTTTCCTGGCGTTTTCGATGCTCCTGACGACTTCAACATGTACTCGGACGGTACGGATTAGTGTATCGACCGGGTCATCCGGCTGTTCGTCCGGAAGACGCTCGCGTACGTCGTCGGGGGCTGGCCACTGTGATTCATCAGTGTCCGCTCCATGGTTGAACATTTCTTTTAGGTCGCCTTTAAATCCCTCGTAGGGGTCACCTTCTCCATGGTCGGAGATTGAGTCCTTTTCTTCAATATCCGAGATCTGATCGGATTCCACGTCAGACTGTTGTTTAGATGTGGAGGGCTGGGGTTGTTCGATCGGAGTCGGCGGTTTTGGTGGGTTCCGTAGCCGACCTCCTGAAGTCTTAGCCGGCTTTGTGCCGGTTCGCTCCATGACTTCCTTAAATTTACGCTCCGCCGCATCCTTGTCGTGCGGTTGTTGAGCCTTTTCCCTCTGCTCGGTCCTTTGTGGGCCGGCATCCGAAATATCCAAGTCGTCGGATGACTTGTGTCGCTTGGCCGGATTAGGCTTCGGCGTCTTTACCGTAGAGTCCGACTTCGGTTTGGTCGTCTCTTTGGCCTCCGACTTTACTGATTTCTTCTGAGTTTCCGTCGGTTGCGGCTTAGCGGGTTGTTTCGCTGCTTCCTTCTTGGCCTTCCGTTTATCCTTGTGGGATTTCGCGGAATTTGCCGAGTTGATGACCCGTGTGTCCAGATCATCGTTGATCTGGACGGAAGGTTGTCTGGTTGGAGGAGGGACTTTCATCTTGACGGATTGCTGTGCCGTCTTCTTGGTCGACTTGGGTTCCGAAGCGGTGACTTTATGTCGAGTCGGCATAGCCGCTTGTAGGGCTTTAGGTCGACTCTTTTCCGCTCGGTAATGTTCTCCCATACGTTTCATAACGTCGGCCATCTTCTCGGTAAGCCGGTCGTGGTCACGCCGAGCTTCTGTGGTGTTTCCGAGTATGCTGGCACGTCGGATTCTCAATGAGTGCCAGAGTTCCCTATCCTCCGGGTATGCCATGTCGATGCAGGCATCCTGTTCCGACCTTGTCAAGTCCTTCACATGTTGTAAGGCTGGGTCGTCATGGAATTCGCGCGATGAGTCCTGAGGTGGCTTCTCTTTAGCCGTACTCCGTTTGGTCGGTATGTTTACGGACTCCTTTGCCAACATGTTCGTTCGAGACTCGTCAATTGTTAGACGTGGGCCGGAGTGTACCGAGGTCGGTTCGTCCCTTTGTGGTGACGTTTCGACCGTTGTTTCGACTCGCGCTTCCGAAGGGGATGTTGTGTCCATCACGTCTTCGGTTTTCTTCGGTTTCGTCGGGGTATTCCGAGGTGTAAACCTGAGTGGTTTTTCCATTGTCGGTTGACTCGGCAGCTTAGTCGGCTGGGATGCTGATCGGGTCGGCGAAATTTGTTTTACCGGCGATCTGCCTCGTTTCGGCGTGGATCCCTTCGGTGGTGTCGCTGCCTTCCGTTGAATGGAGTCATCGGAGTCAACGTCGTCCGCATTCTCCTCATCTTCACTACTATCCGACATTGTTATCGGAATCTTCTCGGTTACCTCTTCTCCGGGCCGAGGTTGAATCTCCAGTGTGTAGGCGCCCGGGTTGATGCTAGGATTACGGAGACGTTGGATCGTCTGGATCATGTTAGAGTCCAGCGGGAGTTGTCGTAACTCCTGCTTTCCGCATCTTAGAGTCACCAACCGTCGCAGGACTTTGTCCCTATCCTGGATCGTAGCATGGATCTTCTGGGCCGTTTGGGTCTGTTGCTCGTCGGTCATGGTCCGATCTCGGATACCTCCTTGAAGTTGTGCTTCGTAAAGTATCCGTTGAAGATCCAATGTTTTAGCTTGGCCGACCAACTTCTTGTGGATGCCGGGAGTAAATAAGGCCTTCGCTCCCATCACTTTCCGTGACGGGCTCGGCTTCTCTTCAGCCGGTGGTAGGGAAGACGGAGTCGCCTTCAGGATTTCCAAGAGTCGTTCCTTGGTCCTGACTGGTGATGGCGACTTCCGCTTCCTTCCGCTTGTAGAAGTCGTCTACGAAGGACTGAATCATGGCCGTCAGGGTTTGCAGCCGTTCCTGATTCTTTACCGACCACACTGTTGTTGGTCTGAGGATAAATCGGGCTTCCTTGGCGTTGTTCTCCAAGTGTCCGAGATTGATATCGATCTGACAGTATTGCGGACTCCGTTGGTCGGTCTCGTCCATCATCTTTCGAAGTTCGACGATGACAGCGTCCGCTCGCAGTAACTGTGTGTTGACTGCTTTTACCCATTCAAGGTCGGGTTTGGCTGGTGGGGCTGGAGGTGGAAGTCGGACAGAATCGAAACTCGGTTTCCGAGCCGACTGGATCTTTGTGATCCGCGACGGTCGACCTTCAGTCATGGCGTTTGTTGCCAAGCTGGTCGATTCCTGTTGTTTGTCCCGTTCCTTCTCTTCCTCGTATTCGTTCACCCTTGTTTCCAACCATGAGGTCGTTCGGATTAGGTGTTGTCGAGTCCTCATCGTTTGTGGGGCGTCCGGATGACATAGTCGTCGTATAAACCGGGCATTGTTTCCCCACGCCAAGATATCTCGGTCCAAGTCATTCGCTTCTTGGCTGTTGTCTTCACAAAAGTTTCTGCGGGCCCTCATCTCTGTGATGAGTTCCGCTACTCTAGCCAATAGTTTGACTATATGTGGCGCGACCGTACTCGGCAGTTCGTCCGTGTCCGGTATGGCTTCCATGATTCGGGCTTCCGTGGCCGGAGACATGGGCCGATCGGCCATTTCCATCAGTTTCGGTTGGGCAAAGCCTTCTGTTGAGGTCGGATTGGTGACAGTCCTTGGCCTACGCTCCACGTCATCATGGGTGGAGGTTGGCTCTTTGGGACGACCGCTGGTTGGGTCGTCGTCGGCTGTAGGGCTCGGATTTCGTCCTCCTTTTCCGTCAGCTTCTTAGTCCAATGCTCGATCAGTCCGGTATTACCCAGAACGGTTTCAGGGTAATATTCCTTGGTCGGATCGAGTGTAGCTAGGCGCTTCTTCACTTCGTTTATTTCGTGAAGGTATTCACTGCGCTTTTGCGCTAAGGCGTCCAACCGGGCTAGTCGGATTTCTTCATCAATCACCGCCTGTGTGGTCGGTGCTGATATTCCCGACGAGCGCAAGTTTTGTTCTTGTGCTCGTATCCGCTTCTCCGAGTCGGCTGCTATGTCGACTTGTTTATCTTCTTGTCGGCGTATTCTGCCGAATTCAGCCGTATAATTATCCATGTTCTGAGGAGGCGTGCCCATGACACTCTTAGCTTTACGGCCTCTTTCATGGCCTCCTCCTTCCGGAGACGTAGTTTTCCGATCTCCAGTGAGGGTGTTCGGCCAGGCGTTTGTCGGCCTGCCGAAGTCGACGGAATTGGTTGAGACGTCGGCGTGACAACCTGTGTGGTTATCGCCGGGGGCCCTGGGTCAGGGTCTCCCAGTCTCTGGCCAACATGCCGAGCTACCGCTTGTTGGCAGATTCGGAGGGTTTCCTTTTCCTCGGCATGGAGCTTTAAGTTAGCATCGTTCAGACGGTTCTCATAGTACGACAGTTCAGCCAACAACTTCGTTCTGTATGGAGTGTGGCTCGGATCCATCTGTGAGGTCTGCGTAAGTGCTTGGCTGATCGTGTCTATGTGAGCACGAGCCAATTTTGCTTGTTGACGCAATTCCTCTGCGGTTCTGCCGTTGGTGTTGATTTCCTGGACAACCGCAAAAGGTGGAGGCATCGACGTTACGACCTGTGTGGTCGTCGTCGAAACAGGCACTTGTTGGCTCTGTCCTCCGACTTGACTTCTGTGTTGGTTCAGCCGGTTCATTAAATGGGTCGTCGCGTTCGGATCCATCCAGAGGTTCTGTTGTCCGGGTGGCCTAAGATGGGTCGGTGAGATCGGTGGCGTAAGCAATACTGGCCTTGGTGGCGAGATTGTGCCATCCGGGCTGACCATGCTGATCGTTGCGATTTGTGGGGGTGGCATTCCCGACGTTGGCGGGATTGATGCTAATCGCATTGCCGGTGGGCTGTATGGGAAACTACTCGGCGCCAATGTGGGCGTCGTGTAGATCGGACCCGCTGTGTTAGCCATTCCTGGCGCCATTGTGGGCACCATGTAAATCGTTACGGGCGTGTTCGCCATCCCTGGCACCATTGTCGGTGTCGGGTAAGCTGCTCCGGTCATCATTGTTGATGCCGAGCTGGTCGGTCCGACTATTGTAGTCGGTACCGGCCACTGATAAGATGGCATTTGACCATGTGGGCCTGCTGCCGTTGTCGGAGTCATCTGACTCGTTCCAGTTCCGAGGTTCCACAGACAGCCTGTGTTATCGACTGCTGTGTTCGGTGGCAAAATTTGCGGCGGTATCGCTCCACGTTGGGGCCCGACCGTAAGACCTGCTAACACATTAGCTGTTACGTTAGCTTGAGGATTGTCTACCTGCGGTAATGGCGTCTGTGTGGCCGACCGCGAATTGTCCGATCGCGATGTCGAGCGATGAGTCGGGTAGGGCTGTGATCGGTTCGATCCGTTACCGCTACGTCCGCTGTTCGATCCGCTGGAAGGTGGGTCGTGTCGGCGACGACCTGACATTGTTGCTTGCTGTCAAGGAGAGGAAATACGGCGCGTTAGAATTCTACCAACTCCCGTACATTCAACTGAAGATGTTCCGGTCAACTGAAGAGATTCCATTTCGACACCAAAGGTCCATCTATACCTAGCTACTGTTAAGCTATCTAAAACTTATTCTAAGTTTTACGGCTATGGCCCTATGACTGAGTCTGTTCTGTTGTGACTGCTGTTTTGGGTTTCTTGGGTTTTGGTGTTTTGACTGGTTTCTCAGAGTCTGCCCGTCCTTCGGTTATTCGTTCAAGGATTTCCTTATGGGCTTCGTCTTCAGCAACTTCAGTTTCCTCCAGCATCTGTCGTGCTGTCAGCTTCGGTTTCTTAGCTGTCCCATACTTCCGTTTCGGCTTAGTCGGTTCGACTGCCTGGTCGGCTGCTACGACTTCCGTGGTCGGCGCCGATGTATTCGGTAAGTCAACCTTCCGCTTTGTGTACTTCCGCTTGGGCTTAGTCGGTTGGACTGCCAAGTCGGCTACGGCGACCTCTGTGGTCGGTGCCTACGAGTCGGTTTTCTTAACCGTCCTCGCTTTCCGAGCTGGCTTTGTCGCCGGCTTCGGTTCCTCTGTAGGTCGGTTGGCTGGCTGAACCGGCGCTTCCGACTTGTCTTCCGACTCCTTCGGTTTCTCCGTGGTCGGCTGAGCTTTGTTCTCGATTTCGTCCGAGGTCGGTGCTGGTTCGGCAGCTATTACATCTTGCTTCTGAAGTTCTTTCAGTGCAGGTGTCTCGAAGTCGGTCGGTGGTTTCTTCCGAGGTCGACCTCGTTTCTTCTTTACCGTCGGTTCGGTTTTATCCGCATTGTTAGTCGGATCCGAAGGTTTCTCGACGGTTTCTTCCGGTTTGTTCTTCGGCTTCCGAGTAGCTTTCCCTTCTGTCGGGTCGGCTACCGGGCCTGTTGACCGAGTTGCTGGTCGACTTGTCTCGACTCGGCAATGTTTAACTCGGTCGACGGCTACCGTATCTTCACGTCCGTCTTCGCATCGAAGGAGTAAGTTGTTTGGGCCAACGTATTTGATGACCGTCCAAACTCCATCGTAGCGTTCCTTTCGGGTGGGATCCTTGGTCGGAAATTCCACCGTTACCTTATCCCTCGGTTTGAAGGTCGGATTCGACTTCTTCTTGTTATAGTGCTCGGCATTTCGTTCGAATGCTTCATCAATGTTGATGCGGGCAATCTAATGCGAGCGCTGAAGTCGTTCTTTGATCCGTCGGATGTATTGTTCCTTATCCGTAAAGGTTTCTGGTGTATTCGTTCCGGCCACTACGTCCTGTGGCATGGTCATTTCTCGACCATACATCATGTAGAACGGTGAGAACTTAGTCGCGGCATGGACGGCTCGGTTCATTCCGCAGACGACGTAATCCAAGGCTCTGTGCCATCGGTGTCCGTCTTTTACATCGCAGAACTTCCTTATCCCATCCCATATTGTTTGCATTTGCCGTTCGACTTGTCCTTGTCCTTCCGGATGATGGGCAGTTCCAAGTGTGTGTTGGATGCCGAAGATCCGTGCGACCTTAGCGAACGTCTTCGCCGTAAAGTGAGTCCCTCTGTCCGAGTGGATGAAGGTCGGCATTCCGTATTTCAGTAGGACGTCTCTGACGAAGAACCTTTCGAATTCCCTCGCGGTATTCGTCTTCGTTGCCCGGGCTACGGTGAACTTCGTCAGCTGGTCGGTTACCACTGCGATATACTGGTATCCCTTCGTCTCCGTCCGAGGAAGGGGACCTTTGAAGTCCGCGTATATGCGATACCAAGCTTCACCGACTTCCGTCTTTTGGAGTTTACCCGGTGGTGGACATCGTTGCTTGTTCGTCATAATGCATTGTCGGCATTTCTCAATGTAGGCTATGGCGTCGCTATTCATGCGAGTCCAAAAGTAGCGTAGCTTCAATGCTTCGATCGTTTTCTCCCGTCCGAAGTGGTTTCCGGTTTTTCCGTCGTGGAGCGATCGGATGATTTGATTCCGCATAAAGAGTGGTACGACGAAGCAACGTTCCAACTTTGTGTTGATCGTCTTCAGTCTGTACAATACTCCTTGCGCCATCTGGTAGTGTTCCAGATGTTTCGACTTGTGGTCGAGTTTCTCTGGATTTTCCAGTTCATCGATGATTTTGCGTAGTTGCGGGTCTCGCAACTGCGCTTTCCGAAGTTCCGTGTTCGGTTCGGGTGGAGGTGGGAGTGTCTCTTCGACTTCCAACTCGTCCTCCTCCGCCGTGTTGACGGTCCGAATGGTCGGTTCCGGTATCTCCGGTGCTGGGATGTTTATGACTCGGACCTCTGTGGTACTCAAGTCGTCCCAGTCGGTTATGACTTTGCATCCGGGGAGAACCGGTGGAAGGGGGATTTTGGTGGGTTTTCCTTATCCTTCTTCTTTCCTCTTGGAGGCGTTCGCCTTCAGACGTCTAAGAGTCCGTATTGTACAGACCTTAACTTCGTCCTTGAAGTCCTCGAAGTTGGGGACTTGGTCCAACTCTTCGTGTGGATCTTTGTCCTCACTACGTTCGAGTGGCCATCTCGACAGGGCGTCCGCATTGTCGCAGAATACGCCTGGCTTATACTCGATGGTTATGTCCCGTCCTTGTAAAGCCAGTGCCCATCTGGTTAGTCGAGGGTTGATGCCAGGTCGGTTCGACTCGCATCGGAGCAGATTCTGCAGTGCTCGGTGATCCGTTCTTACGGTGAATGGTCCGTGGTCAATGAAGTGCTTAAATTTCTGCACGGCCCATACCACGGCCAAACATTCCCATTCGGTAACTCCATAGTTGAGTTCCGGTCCTCGTAGGACTCTGCTGGCGTAGGCGATTGGATGATCGTCTTGTGAGATCACCGCGCCAAGTCCGGCTCCGCTTGCGTCACATTCAATGACGGTCTTCTTGGTCGGGTCGAACTTCGCCAGTACAGGTGCTTCGGTTAGCGCCTTCTTGATGTCGTTGAACTCAGCCGTGTGGGCTTCCGTCCAATCGAGCTTGATATTTTTGTCCTTCCGGAGGAGCTCGTACATTTTCGACGTCTTCTGAGCGTATCCTCGGATGAATTTCCGATAGTAGTTGGCCAGTCCGAGGAACGACCTGAGTTGCCGTTCAGTTCTCGGGCAGCTTTGTTCTGCAATACAGGCCACTTTCTCGTCATCGGTCTGGACTCCGTCTTTGCTGAGGACGTGTCCGAGGAACAGCAGTCTGTCCGTTCCGATCTCACATTTGGAGGGTTTGACCGTAAATCCGGCATCGCGGAGGCATTCGAGAGTCGCTCGAAAAGCTTCAAGGAAGTCTTCGAAAGTTTTACCGAAGAAGATGATGTCGTCGATGTAGGCGAACACACCTTTCTTCCGAGCTGATGCCGTAATTTTATCCATATGCATTTGGAAAGTTGCTGGTCCGTTGCAGACTCCAAACGGCATACGGTTAAATCGCCACATGCCTTCGGGTGTTACGAAGGTCGTGTAGTCTTTGGATTGTTCGTCCATAGGAATTTGCCAAAAGCCGGACTGACAGTCTACCTTGCCGTAGTATTCCATTCCGGCACATCGGTCCAATAGCTCGTCCGGGTTCGGTAGTGGGTAGTTGTTTTTCTTCGTAACGGCATTCAACTTGATATAGTTGATGCAGAAGCGTGTTCCTACCGTGCCGTCTCCGTTCCGTTTC